AGAGTCTTTGTCCCAGAGGTCTGTCACCTCCATGAGGGATTCAACAGATGTTGACTGTGTCCTGGACTTGTCTGTGAAGTCAAGCCTTTCTGGAGTTGAGAATTTGAACAATTCGTATTTCTCTTCACAGGATATGATGCGAAACAACTTGGTGCAGGTGAAAGTGGAAAAAGAGGCATCCTGTGATGAGAGTGATGTTGGCACTAATGACTATGACATGGAGCATAGCACTGTGAAAGAAAGTGTGAGCACTAATAACAGGGTACCATATGAGCCAGCCCATCTGGCTCCTATGAGAGACGATTCTGTTTTGAGGGAACTAGATAGAGAGGACAAAGCCAGTGATGATGAAATCATAACTCCAGAGAATGAGAGAGTTCAGGTGGAAGGGAGCATGGACAGCAGTCTGCTCCCTTATGTCTCCAACATACTTAACCCTGCAGGCCAAATTTTTATGTGCCCCCTCTGCAACAAAGTCTTTCCTAGTCCCCACATCCTGCAGATTCACTTAAGTACGCACTTTCGAGAGCAGGACGGGATCCGCAGTAAGCCTGCCGCTGATGTCAATGTCCCAACCTGTTCCTTGTGTGGTAAGACTTTTTCTTGCATGTACACTTTGAAACGTCACGAGAGGACTCATTCAGGTGAAAAACCATACACTTGTACTCAGTGTGGAAAGAGCTTCCAGTATTCCCACAATCTGAGCCGCCATGCCGTAGTTCACACACGGGAGAAGCCACACGCTTGTAAGTGGTGTGAGCGGAGGTTCACCCAGTCTGGAGACCTTTACAGGCATATTCGGAAGTTTCACTGTGAACTAGTGAACTCGTTGTCTGTCAAAAGTGAAGCACTGAGCTTACCTACTGTCAGAGACTGGACATTAGAAGATAGCTCTCAAGAACTTTGGAAATAGAATTTTATATATATAATTAATATATATATATCTATATATCTATATATAAATCTATATAGTTGTGGTACAGTCTAAAAGCAGTCTTGTTTCCTTAAACTAACAAAGTTTGGCCATTAGCTTGTTTTATGCACTTTAAAGCAGCATGAACATTTCACTACTTAGTGTTCTGATAATGAACTATAGAAATAAGACAAATAAACTTCATAAAACCTTCCCCTGTCTCCCCACCAAGTAAGTACTTCTTTTAAAAATAACTGCAATTGAACAAGAGTGATTGTTAGAGTCTATTTAACATTATTTACAACATTGCATCATTTCAATCTCCACTTAAATCAGTAATCTCCAGTTCTTTTTTATCACTTCAGTTAAATTTTTTATACTGCATGCATCTTTTCTAGCTCAGGGAAACCTGAATGCTTTTAGACCCAAGCGATATGATTTCTAAATGACTGGAGTATCAATTTTTCAAAAGTGATTGTTATTATATTGTAATTTGTAAACTACAATAGTTCCCACAATTAAAAAAAGAAAGAAAAATTTGAAAATACACTGGAATCATGGGGACTCTGAAGGCGTGTTTGGGATGAAAAAAGGATGTTGCATTTTCAGCAGTTGCAAACTGCATTTAAAATGTGAATTACTGTTATATACTGTAATTGATTAAAAGGGTTGGGGGGGTGTCAAAGAAATTGACAAGTTGTGTTAATGCTCTAAGTTAAGTCTTGGAAAGTAAATATTAATGCTACAGAAATGCATGCATTTCGGTATATTTTTGTCTTTGTTTGCATTGTATAACTTTAATGAGTGATTTTAAAAACTTATTTAATTTTTAGTAAGGAAAAGCACCAGAAAAAAAAAACCTGGTGTTACGAAGAACATAAATGCACTGCTTTTATTTTATATAATTTAAATTAATTACCCATTGTCTTTAAGTTGAACAAACACTATATGTTGATTTTAGCTATGTAAAGGAAGATAGTAATGTTTACAAGACGTAGAGATTTGCATGTGCAGTGAACATTTATTTAAAAAAATGATTGCACAAACCCATGCCAACTCCAACCTTAGATGCATATACTTACCCATGTGAGCATTTTTAGAATTCCTGCTGCACAAATAAACAATAGGTGTTCATTTTATTTGCCACTTCAAAAGATTCTATGGAGTGAAAAAGCCCCAGGCTAAAAGAACTAAAAACCTTGATTGACATGGGACAGGGTGGGGAGGTGGTGGGAGAAAAGTTGGGGGAGGGTTTGTGAACTGTGTGTCCAAACAGCAAAGACTGCAGCCTGACGTGTGGTTTTAATGATCAACACGTAGGGCAAAAAGCATTTTGCACAGTGTATGTTTTCCTGTCTTGCACTTACAAATAAGGTCTATGAGAGTAGCATGGAAAATGTTTTTTTTTTCTGCTTTTGTTTAGAATTTGATCGCCTTAACTACTGTAAACATAGCCTATTTTTGTGCTTAAGAAATTGAATGGAAAACTCCATTGTGTATTGCTGGACTGTTTTGGAAATATTTTGGTCAAATGTATATTAATTTGGCTGTAATGGCATTTACAACAAAAAAAGCTGTGAAAATGGCCTTGGAGCATTATTTTTAGTTACTTGAACAGTCTCTAGGTTTTAAAAATTCATTGTTTTTATTTAGAAAAGACAATCAGTGTCTGAAAAAAATGGACTACTTATGCTTTTTTATTTTTTTGTGGACATGAGTGATTGTTGGGGGGGTTAGTTGCCCTTTAGTTTCACATTTTATTTTATTTTTTGGTTTTAAAAATTAGACTGACATCTAGCCTTGACAATCATAGTATGTTTTATTTTCATGAGGGGGAGGGGAATAACTTATAATGCTGTTTAGTTTTGTACTATTGGTGTGTTGGTGAATTTTTAAATTGTGTGCTAACTGCAATAAATTATACATACTGAGAAATCATTTAGTTGTCTTCTCCCCTTTTTAAAAGAAAAAAATGTAAAATATTGTACATTCTTAATCTTTTTGTGCAGTTTCCTCTTGCTGCATGGAATAAGCTTGCAGTTTGAAATGGATCTCAAGCAAAAATTGTTTCCATTAAGCAAATGCTACTAATGCTATATTTCTAAAAAACAAAACAAAACCTGATCATGGAAATGATTTTTTTCCTACAGGTTCCTAAATAAAAAGCTATGGTAAGTAATATTCTGAGTCCTATGAAAGCACAAACTTCTAAGTCCAAATGTACATTATGTAAATTCTAAATCTAATATTAATGTGAAAATAAAAAAGGGGAAAAGGGAAAAAGTGACAGTTTGAAGAAATGACTATGTAGTGAGACATGTACAAAACTAAAATAATGGCTATTCCAAATCACATGCACGCAAATTAGATGGTCGGCCCGTTTTTCTTTAATAGATGAGCTTATTCCTGCTAGAGCAACTTATAAGTTCCCCTTAATTTGATAGATTAGTTTCTTAGGATGTTCCCAATGAAAGCTCTGTAATAGAATTTTCAGTTTGGATCAAAAGAAATGCTCACATCAACCAGTGAGCCTAATCTCAATTATTTACAATAAGGTTCATACAATATTGACAAATTATAAACCTCCAAATGATCTCATTCATTTAATGCAACATCCATACAGTTTGATAGTTCACTTTGTGATAGATTGGTCTCACAATTGATGGATATTTTTAAAATGCATGCCATACATAAAATTACTTAAAACTTCATATCACAAGGTTGGATATGTTTCGAAACCCCATTTTTGGGCTTTGGGCTTCATTTTTGTGAATTTTAAGGTAATGTACAGAAAATAAAATTCAGATTGTCACTTTCACAGTAAGACATGAAAATTCTGGAGGAATTTATATCATTTCAAATTTTCCGTTGAGATTGTTAAGGTGTTCAAAGCTTACTTTGGGATATAATTTTAGAATTCACTGCTTCTGATAATAAGAGGTCTGCTTAACTTACACATATTAGCATCTTTCTCCACAGGGCTGTAAAAATAAAGGGAATACTGTATCTGAATTCAACAAATTCGGCCATATTACATTTACTGCAATTGAAATGTAAATTCTCGTGATCATCTACCTATGAATGTATAAGATAATGAAATGAACCTCTCCTCCCATAAGACATGCTTTCTCTTTTAGCTTGTAATAACCTAATCTGCGTGACAGAATTTCTAGGGTGTGACAGTAACAGTTAACACCTTGGTGTAAACCAACAAAGAATGCTTAATAGAATTGTTGGTAAGTCCCAACGGCTTTTTGAATTCCAATGGATTAGACTCCAATACTGCAAATAAGATTAGATTCAATTACACTGAATTGCACATTGTTTTAATCATGAAAATCACTTGGTGAATTTGTATAATGTTGCAACATTTAGTTAAATGGCTAAATTTTGAGTGAATCTGGTAATTTTGTTTTGGGATACATCATATCACAGAATAAATAGCCCATTGCTTTGGTTATTTTATATCTTTTTAAAGTGAAATAAAGAGATTTTGCTGCACACATGTGTAATATGGTACATGCCTGTTCTTGTGCACGTGTGCCAAAACATAAGAATAGTATCATCAGAAACAGAATAAGTGTTATCAAAGAAATTCACAGCTAAACTGCTATGATAAAAGTTGATACATTTGAAAAGTATTAACCATTGTATTTATTGTTTTCTTTTTTCACAAGCAGCTGCATTTCTTCGAGAAGTTTGCTTGGGTTCATTTTTCCTCCTAAATTAAAGTAAATGCTTTTAGCATCATATCTTAAGTCCTTTTAATTATGTTCTTGAGTACTTTGTTTCTTTTTTGCTATTTTAGCTCTACCTATGAACCTCATAAAAAGTATATGAAACACAAATCAAGTGCTCTGCCAGATCAAGGTAAAATGGGGGGGAACAGCTGTTTTAAATTGAAATTTAAATGCATGCTTGTATTTTTATCTCAGAAGCATGAATGGCGTATTTGGGTTAACACATGCATGTTGTTTTTACTTCTTGGAAATCATTTTTTTAGAATAATCATAAAAGGTTATTCTCCAAAATTATTCTATAACAAATAAGATTGGAAAAATAAAGGATAGGTAAAAGAAAAAAAAACTATTAGCCTTTTACAGTTTGTCTCTACTGAAATCTTATATTTAACACAATTAGGAAAATGTTATAGAACACTGGCTTTAGTCATGTTTCTTTTTATGAATATCTGGTAAGATCACATTATTTCCTTTTTCAACATTACAATATCCAAATCAAAAACAATGCTGTATAGTCCAAGACCAGAGTCACAAAGTTGTTATAAGGTGATAGACATGCTTCTAAAAGTTTTGCTGGTGGCAGATTTTGATACAGAATTGGGTTATAAAAACATTGCTTAGAAATCTTGAGGATTTTAAGTACTATCAATATTCTGCTCAACGTTACAAGTTCATTTGTTATCCATATTCTAAATTGTGAATATAATTGTGAGCATCTAGTAGAACACTGATTTTTATTTTCTGATTTGGATTCTTTTTTATTTTGTCATAGTCTTTAAATTTGTAACTATGGATAAATGTATAGTTATTAAAAGAAATGCATAGTATTTTCAGAGTACTGCATATTTTAATGCAGCATTTTGCTATTGAGAAAGGAAATTAAAATATATATTTTGTATTGATATTTATCACATAATTCCATACATTAGAAGAATTATCAACTGAACAAGAGATACACATATCTCGTTATAATTATTTTTTAAACAATTTTTAGAATTGTAGCAAACATGTAATGCTACAGTTAAGCATAAAACTAAATTGTATGTGTTTATGATGTATGTAAAAGTGTAGATTGATCAAATTTTCTTTCCACTCTAATGAATATAACTCTTAAATTAGACAAATACTGAATAAATATAACCAAGCAATTGAAAAATTATATTTTAAAAAAGTATACATGTAAATGTATCCTTAACACATGTCACCATTTTTATTCATCGGCCAATGCGATGAATAAAATATTAGAATTTTCAGCTTTGATAAGCATAATGTAAGCCTGGATTCAATATCTTTAAATTTCCTTCATGAAAATCCTTCAATGATAATGGAAAGCTAAGGAGGATTGAACTGACTAAATACTTGGATAGAGGTCCCCCACAAAATCCCAGGGTTCCAGGCTAGAGTGGGGAGCCTTGAACATATCCCGGAAGGAAGGCAATGGCAAACACTGCTGTAGTGATCCCAAAGAAATGGCATGAATTAAGGAGACTACGTTTAGAAATATATTGCTTCCTGAGATTATTAAAAGAATTGTCAGAAAAAAATAGAGTTATCTTTTATTTGAGATTTTATGAGGGCAAGATGTCTTCCATTCATAATAGGTTTTGGTGGGTGCGTATGTGTTTTTCCCCATCAAGGGTGGAATTATTTTTTTAAAAAAATGTGTAAGCTGTTCCCTAAGAAGAAAAAGACAATAATTCTAATGGCAATGGTTAGGGTCCTTTCATTGAAAGCCCTCCTGATGCAGTTGCTTGAGAATATTATATGTAGCATTGGGCACCATTAGTTAGTATATCTTTACTGAAGTAAAAGGATTTTTCTCCCATTAATAGCACTGGAATTCTATAATGATTTAGTGAGGGGATGCATTTTTATTTTTCTGTTTAATTAATAAAACTATTTTATATACTGAATCCTGTTTGTTTTACCATCACCATGGAATTAAAACCGAGTCCATTGTACTTTCAATACTTAATATTTTGACAAAGAAATTGACTGTGGGACATTAAATGTAATCTTTATGTGTGAAATAATTTATTAAATATATGTACAATTCTATTTTTTATTGCTGTACATTATGTAAAATGTTGAGCTAATGCACTTTCTGTAAATAGTAAAAAATGAAGACGCAAATGACTACCATGAACTGCATTACACTTAACCTATATACCTCTCTTAAAGGTTGTTAAATTTTTCTCTTAATAAATTAAGATTTTCAAACAGAGTAGCCTCTTGCGTTAGCTTTGATTGCCATTATTTACCTAGGTACATTTTGAAGAGTAACAATGCAGTAAATAATCAGAGAATTACAAGTAAAACTGTAACTTTAATTATTTGTTGTTTAGCAACTTTTAAGAATGATTACATAATGGGATTAAAGTGCATGATTTATTTTGACTATACTGCTTTAAAGTCTACCATAGTAGAGATTGTATATATATTCTATAGTTTTATCAAATATTTTAATACATAGATAATTTATATTTAATTTATGAGAATTATTTGTATGATAGCAGACAATTTCTATCATGGGAGAAATCCAAGAGAAAGGGATGAATAAAACTACACAGTAAACACTCTTAAGAAAAAACATTTTGAGAAGTCTGTAAACAAAGTTTTTACATTTATTTATTTAGAAACTTATATGGCTACCTATCTTATACAGTATAATCCTAAATGGTTCACAATAATCAGAAAAAGCAAAATAAAACCAACGCACCCCATTAAACTCTACATATTCTTTAATCGGCTGGGCTTATGTCTCTCCTAGCCCCACTCACACCAGCCTCTTTATTTCTTTGTTCAACAATCAATGTGTACTCTTTGCACCTACATGAGAGAGGTCTGAAGGAGGCTCTTCAATATAATTAGACATGGATACCTCTGCAGTTCTCATAGCTTCTCGCAAACCTTTTTTTTAAACAAACCAACAAACTTTAGAGAACAGTCCTAGCATGTTTACTTTCTAAAACTGACAGGCTGTGGGTATCATGCCACCAGGATTTTTCAGCAGTTCAGGAGCAGCTGCAAACCTGGGTGATCTAACAACGACTTCACTGGTGAAGAGGGCACAACAGCGACTGCATTTTCTGTGACTGCATTTTCTGTGTTGCATGATAAAAGTACTTCTTCCTTCCCCTGTTCTTACCATTTTCTATAGAGGGACGACTGAGAGCATCCTCTCATATTGCTTTATAGTCTGGTTTGGAAGCATTACTGCTTCAGACAGGAAGGTGGTGCAGAGTGGTAAGGATGGCATAAAAGATTATTGGCAGTTCGCTCAGTTCTATCCAGGATACAGGATATAAGTGATGCTTGAGCATCCAGGATCCACAGGATTGTCTGGGACGCTACACATCCGCTTCATGACCTGTTTTCCTTGTTACCTTCTGGGAGGAGGCTTCGTGGTATCCGAAGAAGAATATCCAGATTCAAGGCACAGTTTTGTTCCATACAGTATCAACCTTGTGAACTCTCAAGCTTCCTCTTTTCGCCATGTATACAGGATGGACAGTGATTAACATATGTATTTATATGTATGAGTGTAATAATACCTAATATGTAGGTATTTACATTTGTATGTATATAGCATGTCTATGTGTGTATACGGGGTACACTTCTGAAAGCAGGCAACAATTTCATTTTTAATATGTGCCAGTGTGCTCACAGTAAAACATGATAATATAGGTTATCTTATCTAACATTGGCTGGTTTAGGGAGTTGACTCAACACATTTCTATTCCAGTTCCAGTATAAGAGCAGTGGAAAGCTGTTTTTTTTTTCCTTCCGCAGGGCTGGACCTTTGTGGGCAGACCATTTTTCCCCTTGGCAGAAATTCTTGCTTCACCCTGTCTCCTGGATTTATAACCCCCCTCCACTCCTTGGCCTAAGTGTTTATCGGCAGCCAGTGATCATCATACAACCATGGCTAAATAGAGCTATTGATCAGATGATCTCTTTTTCACTGTTTCACTGATTGGCTGAAGCATGAGCACTGGTTCATGATGTCACCTATGCATTTTGAAAGTTTCAAGGTCTGCAAAAGTGACCGTTGCAAGTTGCTCTGAGTGAATTAGAAGCAGAAACATCATGCTATAGAAGTGTCCTATATTTGAATCACAAACCAGCCAGCTACAGTTTAGCCTGACATATTGAGCAACTGCAATGACTTGAATTTAAATATGACAATAATATATTTAAAGTTGATGTATTACATGAATGTATCGGAAAACATGGTTAACTATGAATAAGAATATAAAGAAAATATATGTAAAAATAGGAAAGCATCATTTATAAGTTGAACCATCAGGAAATAAAGATTCAAAAACTTTGTTATAAATGCATACACACATCCGTACAGCTTGAAGGGTTTTTAAATAACATGCAGAGAAGGGCAACTGTGAGTAGGGAAAGTGCTTTAACTTTTTTTTCCTTCTTGCCCTTTCTTTGCAACACATCTTGCTTCTTTCCACTTCTTTCTCCCGTAGTTCCAAAAAAGAAAGTCTCAAGAAGTAGAGATTCCTGTACAATATGTTCTGTGATTTACAAGTATCAGAGAGAGGTGTATGTTGCCACTACTACCATGAGAAGTTTCTTTTTAAAAAAACTTTCCGTTCACCATGAAATATATCTCTGCCTTGTAGAGATTTGCTCAAGATGACAGTAAGGGAAACAAAATTCCTTCTGAAGAGCTTCTGACATCTAGTGGACTTGACAGTTGTCTGTACACTGCAAACCTGAGAATAAAAATTCACCCAAATACTATCAAAGCCAAATGCTGAAAATTTTGAGGATTTTAAATGTGGCGTGGGAACTCTCATTACTGCTACCCCAGAGTAGAGAAAATAACTTTGAATGGACCAGGCAGGTTGCAAGTACATCTAAATATATATATAGAGAGAACAGTCTTTCTCCAACTTTTGCCCTCCAGATGAGTAGGAACTCTCCAAATTTCCTAGTAGTAACTGTTGAACAGATTGACTCAGAATCCTGGGGTTAGTTCCTGTAAACTTTTGCAAAGCATGAGCATCACATGGATAGTGACCTTTCCACTATAAAAAACAGAGAAGAAAATAGCAGCCATATTGTGGTGGCATGGCAATTTCATTTGTAGCATTTAATGCAGCTTAAAGAAAGAGGGTAAAATATAAACAAAACTGCTGTTAAAAAGATTGAAGCCACTTTTTTATTTATCTTTTTCTCTTTCATTTTTTTCACATATTTCCTTTTCCTATTCTTATCTTCAGTTCAAAATTTGTGTTATTCTATTGAAAACTTAAAAAAAATTTTTTTTAAATGCAGTTAGTATATACAAGGGCAATTTTAGAAGGTGCAGGAAGGAGGATGTACTACATATAG